TGTTGGGGGTATGGTTGCGACGGAGGGGTTCATGGCTGCCAGGCAGCGCGGGGTCAAGCCGTGCAGGTCATTTGGGCGCGGCGTGGGAGCACACTGCGGCGGCTGCGTTCGCGCAAGCGCCGGGCCGCCCAGCCCGCCGTGTCGCATGCTGGCGGTAACGGCGCGTCGTGCGGCGCCACGCCCCATCGCCTGCAGTCCGCAACGCTGGCAGCCCTTATTTGCAAGATTGCCTATAATGCTGCTGATGGCAGCTTGGTGCATGGAGCGCGCCGGGCCGCACGTGCCGCGCGCGCACCTTTTGCATCGGCACCCGCTCAAACAGCACCACGCGACCTCCCCTGTCGCCCGTCGCCAGGTAGGAGCCGTCCGCATCGAACTCCACCGTTGATATGACATCAGCTGAGCAATCGGAAGCGATCGGGGGGCCGACTGAGCGGATGGCCAGGGAGCAAAGCCCGCCACTGCCCGAGCCATGTCATGCCTGCCCCTTGGTGAGCTCACCCTCCTGGACCTCCTCGCCCGGTGTACGCTCGCCAAAGCACTGCAAGAACTGCCATTCGGGCACCCCGGGGCCAGGTGCGGCCCCCGCGGGCCCCTTATCCAGCATACGGGCCAACTCAGCTACACCACCATGGCGCGGCTGCCGCGGTGTATATGTGCGCCTAGGCTGCCGATATTGGTTTGGATGCTGTGAAGATGCGATCACCCGGCCCCCAGCTGCAGCCGGCGCGCTGGACGGCAAGAGCTGTGATGGAGCCCGCTTGACTTGTGAAAGGGTGTTGCTGTGAAAGATGCGTTCGGCTACGTGTGGATTCCATGCAAGCCCCCGGTGGCGCCGGACGCATACCCCGCAAAATAACGTAGGCCCCGGGTACGTTTTGAGGGTGGCTCGAAGCTGCTGCAGCAGCACTTGTGCCCCTAGCAGTCCAAGCTTCCCGTACAGGTATGCACATTGTTAGTATGGTGTCGTAGTCATATGATGCTCGTCGGGTGTCACCTCAAACACGACGCGCAGATCACTGATGATGATCTGCACCATTCGAATGTCATGCTAGAAAGCGTGCAAGGCCTTTGCTAGCGTTTCTTTTCGATGTCCTGATATCCCATCAAGAACTTAGCTGCTACCCATGCTGCGGGTCGACGGTGGTGGCGCGCCGTCAGGCGGCAGCAGAGCTGGTGGCACACCTGCCCCGAGTGCGCCGCCTGCACCGGCCCCATCCGCCAATGATGCGTCATTGACCCCGCCGCCGCTGGCCAAGGCGCTCGGCACCTGCCCGCCTCGTGTGGCTGCAGAGGTCTTGCGGCTGTCGCAAAGCGCCAACGCGCAGTCGCGGCAGCTGTGCGAGTTTGTGCTTGAAAATGTGCTGGTGCACGAGGCGGCCGCGCAGCAGCTGCAGGCAAGCACGGGGGAGGGACTGAGTCTGCGTCTTTCTGAAGCCTGTGTCCTGCCCGCCTTGGGCGCTTCCCTGGGGTGGCGCGGCTGGCGCGCAGCTGTACCTGGGCGCTCGAGTCCCAGCTGTGCGCCCTGGCACCGCATGCGACCGCAGGCCTCAGCACTGCACGCGCCCTTGCCCAACCCCGGCCCCACCCGCCCATGTGCACCCACCCTCGCACCGCCGCGGCGCGCACGTGGGCATTCGCCGCAGGCCTCCACTGCCGACCTGGTCAGAGATGGCAATGAGCTCCTGGCCGTCAGCCGCCAGCTGCGGCCGCTGTTGGAGCGCCTCGGTCATGCGGCCGCCGCAGCGCGCGAGCTGAAAGCTCTCGCGGCTGCCGCGGGCGACGCCGCGGCATCGGCAGCGCCGGTCGAGATGGCGGCGCCCGAGGCGGCGGGGCCGCGTTGACGTAGATGCGTGCGGCGCCCCGGCGACCCTCGTCACGTGGCAATGTGTGCAGATTCAGCTGCCCAATTGTCCACGCTCGCGCTATAGCTTCAATGTTCAAGGGCTGCGGCCACTGAATTTCAGTTGTGGTCCTTGAATTGCGTTTGTACAAGGCAATCAAATGGACACATCATCATCACAACCCAAATGCAATTGCAACGGCGCCCTGCCCTCTGTGGGGCTCCCCTGCCGGATGTAAACAGTAGTCACCGTGCAGTGCTGCAGCGCCCTCGTCAGCGCCTGCTCGGCCCTGCTTGGCCCTGTGCATGGTGAACGCGCGATGGCTCACGCGCCAGGCGGCCCTTGTCTGCCTGGGCGCCACCGCGGGGGCGGCGCTCGCGCTACTCTGGGTAGGTCATGCGCCGCGACACGCCGCCGTCCACAACGAATTGCTGGCCAGTGATGAAGCGGGAGCGCGCCCCATCGGCCAGGAAGGCCACGATCTCCGCCACGTCCTCGGGGCGACCCACAGAGCCTGCGCGGCGGCGGCAGTGTTGGAACGCGCGTGCTTGGGGTTTGGCCGGCCCGGGACGGCGCACAACAGCAGAGTTTTCGGGCGTGCAACGCAGCGTGCATGCCACGTCGCGAACGCCAGGCTGAGGGTGTCCGCATCACAGGGCTGGCGTAGCGGTTGGCAGGCAGAGCATTGTGACACGCAAGGACATGGACATGCGCAGGGCCCAGGGGCAGGCCACTGCTCAGCGCCGCGTGCGCTCACCTGTCCAGTGCCAGGCGTGGTCCTCGGGCCGCAGGGACGCCGCGTCGCCCGACGTGTCGATCCAGCCGGGGCAGACGCAGTTGACGCGCGCCACGCCCGCCAGGGAGGCCGCCTGCGCATGAGTGAGGCCCACAAGGCCGGCCTTCGCGGCACCGTAGCCCTTTGCGTGGGCGTTGCGGGAGGTGGGAGGGAGCTTGAGTGTAAGGTTTGTTCTAGATGTTGGGCTGTAGAATATCATGAGCAAGGGAACAGATGCACGCGCGCACACATCTAGACTCACGCGCACGCACGCGCGTATGCACGCATGCTTGCATGCCTGGTTTGTGCGTGCGCAGAAAGACCAGCAGCAGCACACGCATGCACACTCAAATGTACGCAAGGTTTCATGAAGTAATGTGATAGACGTCGCCGCCCGCGCGAGCCGCACCTCGCTGTTGGGCTCTGACTGGAGGGCGCGCGTTGATGAGATGTGGATCACGGAGGCGTCCCCCGGAGGCATCAGCGGCGCCAACACCTCGGTCAGCAAGAAGGCCGCCGTCAGGTTCACCTGTTCAGGGGGGCAATCGTGCAGCCGAGGGGCGTAGATGAGGGGTGCCACAGCTGCAGCAGTGATGAGCAGGGAGATGCGTGCGAGAGGTAGGTCAGTCGAGGAGCGTGTATGAGGCAGAAAAGCCTGTATGCTCGGGGCCTTCAACCACGTTGCCGCACACCTTGACCCGCTGCTCAAAATGCAACCAGGCAACTGCGGGTCGCGAGGCCCTGTTGCCACAGGGGCCTCGCCTGGATGTACCGGCGGAAAGCAGCCCTTCGCTCTGGGGCTCCAGGGGAGGTTGATGGCAGGTAGGGGTCTGCACACGAGCGATCGCCGCAAGACGAGCGCAAGGTTTTCGCGGCCCGGTGGCATGGCTAGATAGTAAGCAAAACACCGTGTATTTGAACAAGCCCCACTTCAGCAACGCTACACGCGTGGTGGGCGGGCGCACGGCCGCGGGCCACACATACTAGCAGTCTCGGCGTATCAGTCGCGGCGCGCCTGCGATGCCGGCGTTGTTCACGAGGCAGTGGCATGTAGCAACGCCAAGCCTGGACAGCAGCTGCGTCGGGAGTGCGTCTATTTGGCTTTCGTCGGCCAGGTCCAGCTGCAGCAGGTCGGCCGAGGGGGAGCCGTCCAGCCACAGCGTGCCAGCCTCAGGGGGCCGGTTGTCAAGGCCTACCACACGGTAACTGGGGGGACGGGGCGTTGCGAGGTGCATGCGTGTGAGACATACATACAGACAGACACACAGAGAGAGAGAGAGAGAGAGAGAGAGAGCGTGTGTGTGTGTGTGTGTGTGTGTGTGTGTGTGTGTGTGTGTGTGTGTGTGTGTGTCAAAGATAAAGAGTGTGTGTGCGTGCACATTCGCTCCCTCGCGTACATGCAAGTGTGGGTGTGCTCGTTGGCGGAGGGGGTGAGAAGGTCAAGGGTGGTGCAGGGTCGGTCGTGGAGAGGGTGGGCCAGCGTGCAGCGGAGTCCCCATTGGCGAAGGATTGGGAAATGAAGTCCGTGTTCAGGGTGCTGGGCGGGCAGTGTGCATGTCAGCTTCAGTTGCTGCTACACCAACGCACCCTGAAGCGTGCAACGCTTTCGCAACTGCATGGCCGATACCGGCGCTTCGTGCCGCGCCAGACACGATTGCAACCCGCATATTACAAAATGTCAGGAATTTGAATTGCAGCTGTATGCCTCTAAGGCGATTGGGCTGCTTGTCGGTGATCTTCAGATCAGCATAATGAAATCAGCAGCGTTCAAGCATGCATATCGGACATCCCGCCTCTCTCGTCGTAAACCAGAGTTTGTTGCCTACCGGTATAGACGATCAGCAGTGAGCACAGCATGCGTGTCGTGCATGCCGAGAATGGCAGGAGGGGTTGACTGCACCGACTACCAGCAGCCACGCGACCCCTTCCCCACAACTGTTTTGAATTTTGAGGCGCGCTGCTGGCGTGTGGCCTCAGAATAAATCCCGCACCTCTCCCAGCCCAGCAGGTTTCATTGTCGAGCAGCTCACACACGCAGTTCAACCCCTATCTGCATTCGTTGCCTCCAACGAAACCAAGTGCTACAACCATAAAGTGTAGCAGATCAACTTTTTATCAGCGAATGTAATATAGTATGGCAACACGGACAGCTGACCACAATGTCACCAGCCTGCCTCGAGCTGCGTACATTGGTTACCTATGTAATGTATGTGCAGTATGTGTGATTGGCAAGTGCGGAGGACGGGCGGCCTGTGTAGAAGCATATGAGACACCGCAACGCAGTGGTGCTTGATAAATCGCTTTTGGGCCATGCTTTGTGCTCGCTGCGCTCCCCTGGGTGGGTCAATCGGACGCGACTACCTGTATGCTGCATGCAGTCCCTGTGTTAGACTGCCAATGATGTAGAGGATGCAAAATGTATTATGGCAACAAAATTGGTATCGCTGCGTCAAGCTTTGCCCGGGCAAGCCGCCAGGCTGGGCTTCTTGTCACTCCGTGACTAAGCGGCCCACGTGGTTGAAGGCTGCGGACCGCCAATGCCGGGCATCATCACTACGCTATCGCAACGAGGCAGCCGCGCCTTATTTAGTAGTGCAAAGTTTCTCGTGCTACATGGGCTTCACATGGCTGTAGACGCCGAGATGGGCGGCATCCCCCGGCGAGCGGCGTGATGGAGGACAAGGGTCGACCGACTCGCAACATACCGATAGTCCAAGTGCAGCGTCGCAAACGCCCTGGCAAGGGGCCCGAACCATCTGACGTGATCGCGGCGCTCGAGACCTTGAAGCTGTCGACTCACGCGCAACTCCAGTCTCTTGCCGAGGAGCATGAAAAGCTCAAAGCCCGGGACACCGCACTGGAGGCGGTGGTGCTGTGCCTGGAGGGCCTGATTGCAGCAACGCGCCCGTTGCGCGCATGCTCGTCTGCGACGGGAGCCGCAGATGAAAACGAGGACAGTGTCCTGCAGGGCTGGACCGAGTTGCGCGACGAATGGCATCGTCTGAAGACATCAGGCGCCGCAGTGCCCAGCGCAACGCCGGAAGTGGACACACCAGCGGGCACATCGGGCAGCGGCGGGGCCCCTGTAGAGGAGGCTGCCGTTGCCCCCATCATGTCTGGCGGCGGCGGCAGTGGCAGCAGCGGCAAGCGGTTCGATCACCGCGGTAATTGTGGACATGAGGGCGGCCCCGGCGGCGACGAGGCCTGCAGCCGCCGCTCGCTCTGCTGCGCCGCCACCTGCAACAGCTGCGGCGGCCTCGCGGGCGACAAGGCCGCGGGCCACACGAACAGCAGCAGCGGCGGCGGCAGCTCCGCGGCCGCGCCCACCTGGGCGCGTCACATGGAACTCTCCGACGGCGCGGCGGCCGCCCTCGAGCGGTACAGGCAGTACGACGTCGCCGCCATCGCAGTCCGCCTTCAGCAGTACGTCCATCGGTCGTCCGTCGACCTGTACCGCCTCCAGGCGGGCGCGCAGGACGCGGCGGCGACGGCGCGCCTGGAGGAGCAGCTGGCGAAGCTCATGGCGCTGAGCGCCGCGCTGCTGGTGGCCAAGCCCCAGCTGCTGGGGGAGGTCAGCCTCTACAGGCTCGACACCCTGGCGCCGATCACGGCGGGGGAGGGCCCGTCGCCGGAGCACTGGGCGTTCGTGGTCAAGCAGGCGAAGTTCTCGCGGCATCAGGTGCGCGCGTACAAAACCGAGGCCGCTGAGGAGCCGGCCAGCGTGAAGCAGGAACGCAGCGTTATGATTACAGCGCGATCGTCGCGTTTCGCATGGCGCTGCAGCCGTTTGCAGCCAGCTTTTGGGACCGAACGACTTCGGAGTGAAGCAGGGCCGCTCACCCGCTTGCATCCACCCTCTCCCTGCCCCCGGCCGCCGCTGCCCCGCAGGGGCTGGCCGTGGCGGAGCTGATGGCCGTCTACAAGGCGCGCCTTGCCGTCCTGCTGCCGCGGCGCGAGGAGCTGGTGCGGCTGCAGGGGGAGCACGCGGAGGACGGCGACGCACAGCGGGAGCTTGTGGCGGACCTGGAGCAGTGGCAGGCGGAGTACTGCTACACCGTCATAGGCTTCTCCAACGCGCTCTACAGCCGCCTCCTGCGGCCGCAGCAGGTGCGCGCGCCGCGCGGCCGTCGACCGGTCGGCACGCCTGGCGAGTTGAGGCAGAGGGGCGGGGGGCTGTCTGCCCGGGGCCGCGGCGTTGCGCTTGGGCGGCGACCTCGGCGCGAATGCAACAGGCGAGCTCCAGCGGCCCAGACATACGCGAGGCACGGGGCCGGGCGCTGCACCAGCGTCTGTCTCAAGGCTTCTCCCGGTCGCCCTTATGCACAATTGTGCAGGCGGCTGGAGTTTGGGTGGCATCATTCCCATTTGTGCCGCAGCTGCTGGTCATCGATCAAGCCATGCAGGATCTGGAGGCTGCCGAGCAATCACAGAGGCAGCAGCAGGAGGAGCAACATCAGC